CGACCGTCAGAATCCATGCCTCGCAGGCGGAAGTAGAACAATAGAGGACAACTCAGCGTTGCATAGTTTCGCGTGCAGCCATTCACCGATGGGAGTGCGAAATTCTCATCGATGAAGCAGCTGAGCTAGTATCCTGGACGAACGGCGTTCGGGCGTTGGCAGGAGATGAGGGGAGGGGGAGAGAGGGAGGGGGGAGGCGTGCATACAAGTGCTTTGGTACCGCACGTGTTTTTCGCTGCCTGTGCATGTCATGCGTGGTGGTGGCAGGTGGGGGCCGCACGCGAGTTACGTTTCAATGCATTTTTACTGAGCCGATGCTGCTGGTTGCAGGTGCGCCGATGATATCGATTGCACCGTTGGATCGGGTGCAGCGGTGCACTGGCGAGTGGAGCTTCTCGGTGCATCCGGAGATCGAGGCTCGTGTCAGTCGTGCGGTGCAGGATGCCGTGTCCGAGTGGCGGAGACGCCGTCGTGATGCACGCAGTGCAACAGCACTCGAGTCGAACTCCGCCTGTGCACGCACTCTTATCAATGCTTTCGATTCATTCCTATCCTACGGGTATTTCAGTTCTTAAAATACCAGAAGCATAGTTCTTAAAATCACATTGTCCACAGTATTTCACATAATGATTTATGGCTTTTTGTCCTGTGGACCGAGGACGATTCTGTCTTTCATTTGTGAGGATGTCACGTAATATTTCACGTAATGATGCAATGGTTCCTTACGCAATGTTCGAAAGTCACAGAAACTGCATGTTTATGAGGCGAGCGAGTGCTGCTCGATGTCCCACAGCTTTGTTGTATTGTCCGTGTGTTTAGGTTTAAAGAAGGGAATCGCTTATATTGGCTGTATGTGCGCGAATTTATGTCTCGAAGTGGCGTGGATTATCTGAAGCGAGAATGGCGTGCCAGCACCGCTCGACAGCTCTCGGTCTCGTGGCTCAAGGATACGCTCAACAAGCAGACGCTGCCTTTCTACTTCCAGGTATGACTGCTCATCCGGCTCATTCGCCGCCCCTCCCCCTCCCCGTGGCGGCAGAAGCACCAGTGCTGTAAAAGCGCGGCTTTGAAGCTAAAACTAAAGCCTGAAGTAACTCTAAGTAGCCGTGTTACAATTCTAGTCCTAGTTTTTGCATAGTTCCAGAGTGGGAGGGGATTCTTTTCCCCACCCTCCGTCGCCCTCGTCCCCAGAATTCCGTTCTGGATCCGCATATAGAAGCACTGTTATCCAGATATGCAGCCCAGAATCGTAGGGCTTGACACAGCTACGCTTGGCATGTTGGAGCATTTCAGTAACATCATTAATAGGGGATACCCGCACTGATTGCCTGAGCGGTCTTGGTATAAGAGCAGGGCCGCATCCGCCTCGGTGTCTTAACGGTGTGTTAAAGGAGGGGAAAAAATTATTTTTATATCACTGTGGAATATGCATGCGAACTGTGGGAAAATGCGGGAATTGAGGACTTGCAGCAAAGGTATACAAAAGCAGTTTTGTTGCTGTAGGCATCTACATTCGTGCTGCTTTTTTCAGTCTTTCCAGCACAACCCGGCACTCATTCGAAAGTTTTATCAGAAGGAGGCATTGATGGCAAATCGCGCCCTTCTCGCACGTATCGTCCAGCAGCTCGTCCAACTTGTCGATGTGCAGTTCAGATTTTTGGTACCTTCTTCGCTGTCTAACTGAATTCGGCAAAGAATTTTGCTTTGACTTTTAATTAGAAGAATCGAGTAATAGGTCGACGTCAGACCGTCACGTGATAAATTAGCATTATCAAACCATCTCCTGATGGATTGATTCTTCTTAAGTCAACGTAGTGTTTTTTAAAAGGTTTCAGCTTTCGCTTGGTTACGCTTGTCTGATGTAAAATATTTTTCGGCTAACAACCCCATTTTCGACCTTTTATCATCTCTCTTTCCTTGAGCAGTATAAAAACGTTCCCCATATTTTGAAGTCTGGTTTATATTGGATTCTCTCGCCTAAAAGCACAGCTCTTGTCTTTGCCTTTTATTGCCCCTCTGCATCCGTTTTAGAGTCAAAAATTTTATGGGAAGACTTCCACGAAAAAGGAGCGGTGTACTTCATTCTTATTGCAAATGAGTAGTGCCATGCTTTGGAGAATCCGTACTTTTTGAGGTGTTCGTTCCGCTTTTTTATTTGGTCGCACAAGAAAAATAGGTAGTCGAAAAGTGATTAATATCCAGTTACAACAGGCTTTTCCAGAAACCATTTGAGAGCCACAATGGAGTTCCATTAGCAGTTGTACGCCCAACACTGATCGATCTCGGACCGCCAATGGCGAATAACCGATTGGCAGCTTCTTCAGCAGCGGTCGGATTATCACAGGACGAAGAAGAACGGAGGCATGCATCGAATTGCTACAGTGAACGTGCAGCACATTCTCTGGATCATTCAACGGTGGCGCTGCTTAACGTACCCATAGCACCTGACTTCGTGGAAACACACAACGGTGACTATGCTACGGCACCTAGAAGTCCTGTAATACTTTTAAAATTATTTTAAACATTTAAGATCTGTCCGTCTGAGACTCCGTATTGTGCCAGCCGAGCATGCCAGAACAGACCGGAGTATTGGTGAAAGAAGAGGAGAGGAAGACAGTGATGCATGGGGAAATGTATGCAGTTAGTAGGTAAACAAATGAGCAAGTAAACAACAGAAACAGGTAAACAAACAACGTTGCAGTGTGTAAAGAGTGAAGGGAGAGCAGAACATTTCAGGATTTAATATTTGATAAGCTGTTGCTGTATAAAACGGTCGAAACGCAGTCACCGCCGGATAATGAGAAGACCAATGAGAGGAGCGGCGAATTGGACGGTTCAGGACGTGCTTCGTACAAGGAGGGCAATACTGCTACTGATGCTAACGGAAATGCTTCGATAACAGAAGTAAGATTATTATTCCAACAATAATATTATTTTAATACGTGCAAAATCTTGCTGCACAATAAACCACATTCACATGCGTATGTATGTATGTATGTATGTATGTATGTATGTATGTATGTATGTATGTTGTTTATGCGCATGTAAAGTCAAAGATTTGTTATTGCGCAGTCGCTTGATATTACTCATAGCTGGTTTTTTGCAAAAAAAAAAGTACGTGAATTAAGACAGCTGTGAGTGCGCCAATGGATCCATTCGATATAGCCCTGAAAACGAGCATGTCCAAAGTGAAGCTATCTGCGGAGAATGATGAGAAGCAGCAAAATCATCACGAACGCCGAGCATCACCGCAACCAACTCTAACAGATATTCCATTTGGGGAAGTGAGGTGCAAGTTGTTTTTTTTTTTTTCTCCTTAAATTTATATCATATTATTGGGCGGAGTGGTAGGTGAGGATATAATTTGTAGTGGTTCTTCGATTTGTTCCAAAAACTCGTCAATAGCAAATCCAGAAATAGCCTGTACTTATTATCTGGCAAGTTGTTTTCAGGTTGAATATGGGTGAAATTATTGCTCTCAGTATAAACGTTTTCAAATATGACGCTGAAAGATTCATGCGTTTATTCCAGGTGAATCCTTCATAATTTACTAGTTATCCACGTTTTTGTGTGGTTCCTTTATTTCGCTGGCAGAATGCTCATCATATGCGTAGTGGGTAGGAAGCTATACTAATGATTCCCACATGCTGCGTTCGGTCTGTGTTTACAGCTGAGGGATGAAACAGGGGACTGCATCCTAACATGTCTTCTTGCACGAGATAATTAGTTTGATCTCTTTACTTCTTGCTGTGCTATTTTTCGCGGATGTTGTACACTTCATGCACTTATGAGGCGGACTGAAAATGTTACCTGACGCACCGGTAGTGAGTGATTTTTCTGCAAAATGTTGCTTGAATTTGCATTTGTCGTGCTTTTGTTCGGTGCTGAATTTCTCTGCTAATGCCATATTTAAGGTGTATTCGTATTTTGGCACTGGAGAACCAGAGAAGTATTTATTGATCTTCTCGAATCAGGCATGTTATTTATTATCGGTGGAAAACGCGCTAGCATCTACGAACGTGTATAACCCTTGTGCTTACCTACCAATTCCTTATATTGATTGCATTGATGTAAGTGTTTTAGAAATTTTAAAGATGCAAGCAGTGAATATCTCTGGCTAGGGGATTGGAAGAGGACGGGGGCCTGAAGTCTTCTATGTTTTAACATACGCAGTTTGTTAGGCGTTGTTGGCCCACCGTGGAGAGGAACACAATCGGATTTTGACAGTTATGGAAAAAGTTGTATTTTGGATGTTTTATCTTCAGTCAAGCACGCATAGGTGCTTTTTTTTGAGATTGAAGCTTTTTTACAATGTTTTAAATCTTATTTTGAACAAAATCGCTCGGACCGACAGTTTGGAGCTCGTGCTGTATCCCTCTTGCCAAGCACAGCTTTGTTAAAATGCATTCTTCTTCTTGCTACCTCCTGTTGTTACTCGACTTATGTGCAATACCTGCGCATCTTCGTTTCAAAAATTGTCCAGTAAGCGCACGGGTACCACGATATTCGTCAAAAAAAGAAAGAAATGATAGCGTTTTTTTCATCATATACACTTAATGGGGGCAGTTGTAGGTTGGTCCGGACTTTCAAGTCTTATATTTCCGTGCCAAGAAGGATTACAATGTCCGTGCAGTGGGTTCTGGCAAATTTTCATCAACCCTTGAAATATGCACAGCATGTATGCAGCTGGGCGCTGCCATTTTAGATGTCATAAAATATACATATGAGAATTGTATCTCGAGCTTGCATCCTGAAAAATCCAAATTAAATGTACATACGGAATCCACGCCGCAGCATCTCATTCTTCGCCGTTTTATGTCAAAGGAGCTGCACGAGGTAACCTTTGCTCAACTATTCAGTGTTTGTTTGTTTTTTTTGTCATTCGATAGCAACTTCAGCAAGTTTCTCAGGCTTCTTTGTTAAAAACCGCTCCCCTTCACCTTAATGATGATTGCTTGCTTACATCAGTTATTTCTAATGCCTTTTTTGAAGGTTCAAATCGTGTACAGGCACCAGTGTAATTTCTAATGTTAATGGCAAAAAACGCATGGAGCTCTGAATTTCTCGTTTCATTCAGCCCTTGAGAAGGCTGACGTAAATGGGAGCTGGGTGCTCATTTTACAGACAGCAGCAACATTTTGTGTGCACAAATTTCTTTGAAGAATGACCAGAAATGGAAGATCAGTTGTTTTGCGGGAATTTTGATTAAGCTAAAGATGCTTGTTTGCAAATTTGCAATTTTTGGTTTTGTTTCAGGACAAGCTTACACTTTATGGCTACTATCTTGCACAATGGCGACAAACGAATATGTACAGCGCCAGTGTCGAAGGTTGTCAGCATAGTGGCTTCTTGTACCATAAGGAGATTCGCGGCGGTATTATGCGGCTTCTTGGTTCCAACAGTTTCCAGCAGAGTTATTTTCTTCTACAGAATAAGAAGCTTTATCAATTTTCGGATTCTACATGCAAATTCGGAGAGCGTGTAATACCTGTCCGGTAACTCTTTAATACCTTCCACTCACCGAGCATTACAGGGGAGGGGGGTCTCCATCGTGGTAGCCGGAATGATTTCGGTATTGGTCAACACTGATCGCAGGAGTAGAGGGGTACCACCTTCTCTTTTAAAGCACCAGTTGTACCACAGTAACGGGTGAAAATTGGGTAACAGGAATTTAACAGGCATGACTAGAATGCAGTTTAACGGAGCGCCAATTGGCTAAACAGTTTGTAAGTGCCGGATGCTGGATGAAGATGGACCGAAATTGCTAGACAGCCAAATTTAATTGAAAAATCGAAAGGAAGTATCGCATCCGTGTCTTTTGGAAGTTGCTGGATATGCCTCTGGTATATTTTGCTTTTAAAAACAGTGTTTTTTGAGGGATTCGGTAATGGATGTGGTGGAGCTCAAGGATCGCTCTGCACATATGTTTGAAATATCGCTTGTTGATGGTAGCAGAATTCAGTTCATATGCCAAAGCGCTGCTGATATGCACAAGTGGGTATCACTGATTACGCTTGCCATCACATCCACTGTATGCCTTTTTTTGCTTATTTTGTTTCATGAGAAGTGTTCTTCTTTTGTTTCTCTCACTTATCCTGTCTTCTTGAGGGATAGAGGATGATAAGTAACGGTCATCAGAAGACCTAATCATAAGTGGACGGACCAAATGGACCGGCCGTAGTGGGTTAAATTGGTAGATAATTTGCGGCCCTTGGTGGGCCGAACTGTAATTTCTGAAGTAAATGGCCAGTCCGAACCGTGGAAAGTGTGGAATGGCCGTCAAAAGTCCTTTGCAAACACTTTCTGTCACGTTTTTTTTTTTTTTTTTCAAAATGTGGTATGCAGTGAATTTCTGAAAGAGACATGTTTTCTAGGATTTGAACGACAAGCCGGCTGCCTGTGTAGTATGTATATGTGAGAGAAGTATTCTGGTGGCACAAGAAGGCATGAACTGTGCCACTGATGGGTTTATGCGATTGCTGGTACGCATTGACCTGGCATCGGTATCGCAGGCAACTGGAGTATTTGCTACTGATCGTTCGGCATGTGTCATTAAGAATAGTGGAAAAATGGACTGGCTGTTGCTCAGGTCACCAGATGAAGTGGACCGCTTGCTGGCGCAGCTCGACCAGCTTGGAGTAACCTTTTTTTATACTCCCGGAGCCCAGATCCACTCGACCAGTTGCCTCTGTGAGACGGATGTCCTTCACCAGACAAAACTTTGATGGGTGTTTTTAGCGAGGCGGACGAATTAGTCCGAAAAGAAAATGCCAATGGCCGCGTTATTTTTGTTGGCCAGAAGTACCACGAAATCCCCATTTCCTAACTTTGACCACTGCCTTCAGTGGTGGCTCTGTAAGAGAGTAAATTTCCAACAGTAGTTTCATACTCTTCACAACACGTCCCTCCCATAGTTTATACACGCCTAACTGTAATGATGGTCCGAGTCATCTCGAATCGGTACTTTCGGGCTCTTGACCCCGACCGTCAGGCAGCTATCTTTTGGATATATTCAAGCAGTGGGCCACCACCAAAATCCTAACTTCATAGCCCACATCCTTTAGAAGTACCGGTTCGAGTACAGCAGTATCACCCATTTGATTCGACATGCGGTAGCGATTTCGAAAACGAGCCTAGGGGACGGTGATTTGAACATTTTCGACTGTATGGAATTCGTTCGCACAGCAGTCAGGGAGCGT